AAAAAAAAAAAAAAAGGAAGTGAAAATGACAAGAAAAAAAATATAATATGCTTCTGTCAGCTAAACTCACCAGTCGCCACTACCACTGAACCACCACCACACCACTCATCACCGCCTGCAACCACCAGCCTTTACTCCTCAGCATTCACTTCAAACTCAATTCATATATCGTCTCCTTTTTCTGCTCATTAGCACTAAAACAAACTATTCCCAGATGCCGGTGAAAGAGTAGCTGCAGGATTTGAAGTTAGCCCTTTCATTTTCTCCATTTTTTTTTTTTTATTGGAATGGATTTGAGCTCCTTTTGAGGTGAAGGTGAAAATGGAAGGTGGGTCCAGGTTAGAGAGAGAAACCAAGGATGCTGGGGGAAAGGGTGAGAAGCTTGGATCCATTTTGGATCCCAAAATCGAGCCGTTCGTGCCGAGAAAAGGATACGACCCGAGAGAGTTGAGGTCTTGGGCCAAGAGAACTGGTTTTGTGTCGTCGACTTTCTCCGGTGAGACTGAGAGGAGTATGAGTGGAAGGAGAGAGTTGACTGAGGGGAGGAACATTGGCAATAGCAGTAACAGTGGTGCTAATGATGGATTTCGTAGTAGGTTTGATTTGGAGAAGGGTGTACTTGAGAGGAATGAGTCTATTTCACCCACAATTGAGATAGATCCTGTTCTGGGGAGGACTAGAAAGAGAGGGGATGAGATTGAGCCGGCTTCGGGAGGTGGCAGAGGCAACGGCGGTGGGGACAGAAATGGAATTTTGGGGTTTAGAGATGGAGGTGTGAGAGGTGAGGCTGAAATGTCGAGGAATGAGGTAGAGGAGATGAACTTGGGGGCGGTTAATGCATCGAGAATGGATGGGATTAATGGGCATGAAAATGGCTCCACGAACAAGAATGAGCCCGCCTTTGGTACAAATGGACATGGTATAGAGCGAAAGACGGGTGATGAAGATTTGGGAGGAGGAGGAGGAGTTGGTGGTGATGTGTATCCTGATGGAGATGATTTGGGTGATGGTGGATGGCAAGCTTCACCAAAAATGGCGTGTGGGATGAAAGATAATCCTGGCTATGGTCAGCTAGCTTTTAGTCTCTAAATGAATTTTTTGTTGATATTGTAGGGCTAAGTGCTAACTTTGAATTTGCTTGTTTTGTCATGCATGAGCCCTTTTTAGTCTATCATAGAAAGTTTGAAGTCCTGCTAAAATATGAATCTTATATTGGTTTGATATGATTTTTGAATAATGCCAGCAATTCTCAAAGTTGCATTTACTTTTAGTATTTTTCTTAATCTACTTGTGTAAGTATCTTTCCATACAAAAAAGTAACCACTAAGAGTCGAATCTCTTTAGGATTGCAGGAGAAACTGAATTGAAGTTGGCTGAGACCGACTATGTTCAATGAATCTGTTATTATTTGGCCAAGTTGTTCAATGCTTTTAGGAATAGGGTTGCATGGTGCTATGCATAAAGCAAAGATGAAAATGCTAGCTGGTTGAACATTACATTTGATTAGCATTCAAGGCTCTTTCTTCATCTCAGACACCTATTAGTGGCTTCTAACAAGCTTCACTGACAATTTTATTTTCCTTACAGCACTGTAAATAGAGTTTTTGCTTAAAAGTGGACTTGCAGCATGCATCTTGATTCACCTGCTTAAGATTTGCCAGTTCATCAAGTCTAGATGACCATCTTTTGTTTGACTGGAAAAGGAAAAAAACTATATATAACACTGCTGTTGCTTGCTTTTGCTCCTGCTGCTTTTAAGACTTCTAAACAGTTTCGTTATTGCATAGGTGACAGCAAAATATACGACAAGTAATCAGGTTTCTTTCCGTTGTGTTACATAAAACTGATTCCCACATTATGTTGCATGTGCAATTTTAATTTTTTTTTCCATTCACCATTTTTGTTCTTTGAAAATGCAGTGCCCGCAATATTCTACGGTTTGCAACACTATTTATCTTTGGCTGGCTCACTTATTTTCATTCCTCTGATAATTGTACCTGCAATGGGGGGAACTGATGTAAGCATGTGGTCTCCTAAATTTTTTAATTAGGTTATTTGCCATTTTGTGCCTCACTTTTTGTTATCTCCCAAAAATGGTGACAGAAAGATACTGCAACTGTAATTTCAACTATGCTGCTGTTATCTGGCATCTCAACAATACTGCATACGTACTTCGGCACTCGCCTTCCACTGGTTCAAGGCAGTTCGTTTGTTTATTTGGCTCCTGCATTAGCTATCATGAACTCTCGAGAATTTCGGAATCTTACTGAACATGTAAGAATTTTCCGTTTTGTACTGGTGTTGTAAACCTCTGTCCGTAAATCTGTATATGTTAAATGGCCGTAACTAAGATTAGAGACAGTGCACATTAAAAAAAGAGATGCTATTAATTTTTACTGTGTTTGGATCACTCAAAAGAACTGAAGAAACATGCAGTTCTTTCTTTAAGTCTACCATTTCTGCTTCTAGTGTCGAACTTCATCAGAGTTTCATTACTTAGTGCCTGCCAGATTCTGCAAAAACTTAATATCATGTAGCTCCATTCCAGAATTAGACTTACTAAGAGTTGTTAATGTTGGCAACCTAAATCCTTAAACAAGAAGATAATTTAAGTTGGAACTATTCTCTGGTTTTTTGTTTACTTTAGAATTTGATACTTAACGATTGCATCTTGTTTTTGCCCGAATGTATTCAGAGGTTCAGGCACATCATGAGAGAACTACAGGGGGCTATAATTGTTGGCTCAATTTTCCAGAGCATTATGGGATTCAGTGGGCTGATGTCTCTTCTCTTAAGGTAATCTTGAAAGAGTGTGCCATTTTTTAGATCTTTCAGTTTCCTGAACCGTGGATATTTGGTTTGCAAGTTTACAAATTCTGAAAAAATAAAAAAAGAATTACGAAACCTCGACTTTGACAGTACGATTAATTCAGACAAAATTGGAAATTTTATTTTTAACTAACTCCTTTGTTTTTTTGTGAAATGAACTGTAGATTCATAAACCCTGTTGTGGTTGCACCCACAGTTGCAGCAATGGGTCTAGCTTTTTTCAGCTATGGCTTCCCTCAAGCCGGCGCCTGTGTCGAAATTAGTCTTCCAGAGATCTTTTTGGTTCTTGTTTTTACCTTGGTGAGAACATTCATATTAATGTAGTGAGCACAATTTGGTTAAGAATCTACTTAAGCTGTTCTAAAGCTGCTAGATATGAAGAATATTCTTTTCGCTTTGCAGTACCTTAGAGGTGTATCTGTGTTTGGAAACAGAGTTTTCCGTATCCACGCGGTGAGTAATACACAAATATATATATATATGCAAAAATTATGTACCTCATTTCATTTCACACAATTTCACTCTAAAGTAATATTGGACCAATAAATAATTGTTCTTAATATTCCTTGTTCATCATTCTGACATTTTTGCCAAAATTGGTCATTTGCAGGTTCCGCTGAGTGTTGTGATTATATGGATATATGCGGTTTTTCTGACAGCTGGTGGGGCCTATAACTACAAAGGGTGCAGCCCAGACATACCCAGTTCCAATATTCTAATTGATGCTTGTAGAAAGCATGCATATACTATGAAGCACTGCAGAACGGATGTTTCTAATGCAATGAGAACAGCTGCATGGGTCCGAATTCCATACCCATTTCAATGGGGTATTCCTATATTCCGGTTGCGGACTTCAATTATTATGATCTTTGTATCGATTGTTGCATCGATCGAATCGGTTAGTTACCTTCTTCAAGTTATGAGATACTACATTCTCAATTTCTTTCTCATCTGTTTTCAATCTGTCTGCATGAAATTAGGGATAATTACAAAAAATACACCTAGATTTAGCTCAATTACACTAAAATAAATAAATAAATAAATAAATTTACCCTTTAAAATTGTTAAAAGTACCCCAGAAGTATTATAAATAAATTTGTACAGTTAATAAAATACAAGCACACTTCCTGGGGGAACTTGTAATGTTGAAGGTTACTAGGAAGATGCACGTGCTATGCACGTAATATTAATCATTTTTTTCTTTACTTAAAATTGTTTTTATTATTAAATTTACATTTAATAGTATAATATAATTTTCATTCTATTAGTTAATAAAAAATTATCTATTTTATAATAATCAATAATAAATGTATTAAATAATGAAATATAATATTTAATACTTTTTTACCAAACTGTGACAAAATTAAATAAAAAATATTGATTTGAAAATCCACAGTATTATTATTATTTTTTTTTTTTGTGAAATGTTAAATGCTAAAAAAATTTAGGCCGTCTTTGATTTTGTTATCCAATGATAACTCATTATGCTTAAAAATAACGATCATTATCATTGTCATCATAATATAGTTTTTTAATGTCTTATTTTTGCGTTATGCTCTTTGAAAATAAGTCGAATATGTTATAACTATCATTTGTAGTTATAGTTTTTCTTATTGTTAATTGAAAACTAACCAACTATATTTGATTATTTCATTCTCGACTATTTTTAGCATAGTGGATGCTGATCAGGTTAATTCATTCATAATCAATCTTTTATAAGTAAAATTACAACTTTATGTAATAAACAATCTAACTATTTTTTAATTTAATCGATATTAAGCCAAATAAATTTAACACATTATTTCACTGTAGGGTTTTAAATCTCTATAATAATTCAAATGGATTAAAGTTCATTTTTCAAATAACTATCTTAAAAGTGAGACTTGTTTCTTGAAAAAATTGAATTGCCAAAACTGTCATACGCTATAACTATCTTTAAAGTCGTGATTATTTCAAAAATAAAATTTAATTGAAAAAGATTAGAAACATTAACATCGAATAAATGTACCCATTTCTCTATATATATTGTCCAATATTGGTTGATTGAAGGTACTCATCTCATATGTTGTCCAACATAAATTATTGTTGCATCTCCTAACATTACCATGCATGCATTACTATTTTTTGTTCACGAATTTTCAAGACTATCCTAAATGTGACAAAATAATTAATTTCAATTTATATGAATTATAAAATGGTGATCCTTTCATATTTTACTTTTATCTTGATATTATTTTTTATATCTTCGTCAATATTTATATAGTTCTTTTCTTTTCTTTTTTTTTTTT